CCATGGGGTGGGCAGGGGGTTTCTCCCAGCGGTCCAAGCCATCCGTGCCCTCCCCAAGGGGGGAAAGCAGAGGGCAAAGGAGCCCAGTCGCGAAGGCATCCCTGGCAAGAAGGCCAGGATCCCTGGGAAGGACGCCGCATGGATGGGAAAGGACGCTTGGAATTCTGAATAGGTTTTGTGGACTGTTTTGGGTCATGCCCCATGATGTTCCGTCCTTTGCCGTGCGGCTTGGACATGTTTGGAACAGCTGAACAATTCCGGAGTAAAATATGGTCAACAATGTCATAGCGCCTATGACCCAGTAAAACCTGGTCCATTACCTTATTTATAAGTCTACTATTTAGTGTTTTTGTATGACCCAAACTCAGTATATATCCAATAAAATGAGATCAAATGAGGTCAAACCGACCAACACTGGGGCCGCTGAGGGCCCGAACTCTCCAGCCTCAGCTGAGGCTGGGAGGCCTCCACGAGCGACTTCTGCCAGATGCGAGCCCCGATTGAGCCTCCAGAGCGCGATCGCTGGGCGAGAAGACGCTTGGGCGATGGTTGGGGGGGGGGAATCCGTCTTGGACGCGGGTGAACGGTTGGTGAAGAGATCATTTTGTTGAGTTGGATCTACTTGGCGATGGTCTCTGGATGTTCGCAAGGCTTTGAAATCCACAAGGCCAAGACATGAACAATCATGAAAACAGCTAATTAAGCGGAACCAGTTGTTGAGTTGAAAGAAGCCCGTGCATCTCGATCTCCCCCGAATCCAAGAGGAAAGCATGATTCTGAGGCCTGTTTTGCTTGTTGCTGTTGATTTGCTATTATTTGGACATGGTGGGTGGAGGGGTTGGTTGCACACAGCCTTGTAGCAGGTGAGTGCATAGTGTTAATAACCACTTGAACGGGAACCCTCCTCCTTGGGCTTTTTCCCCACCCGCTCCTAATATGCACAAGTCATGAATCAAATCAAGGTGGTTGCGATGTTTTGATTATATGGCTGGACTGGAGTATAGGTCGGAAAAAAGGTCGTGTTCTTTGCGGACTGGTGGGATGGAACCCCGGAACCACAACCAGCTCCTCAGCTCAGCAAGGATGTAAAGGCCAACCTCGAGACCGGATTTTTGAGTGGGCTTCCTGACATGGACAAATCGGTTGTGGCCCACACGGTATATAACTGTCGCGCACGTTCTGCGAAAACAACAAAAGGATCCTCACCAGAAAACGGCATCCAGTGCCCAGTACGATCTAGTGTTTTAGTGGACAGGCAGGAGATATTGTACGCATCCCAAGTGTTTTTAAAGCGTTGGGCTCTAGAGAAATCTCAATGGGTGGCTCCCTGTTAGCCTTTGGAGGGTCATCATCAAAGAAGAACATACAATCCGAGATTCAAACATCAGCAGTTATATGCAGTTATATAGGAGACGCCACGAAGCACATGGAATTTAAACATCGGCCACAAAGCAAAAAACATGTAGCGCCCATAAAGGCGAAGGTGAAAACACCTCCACGTCGTGACATCTCTTTGTGTCTCATGTCTTGTGTAGGTCACACCCCCCAGTCATATCCAGTTGAAGCGAGCTTTCGCGCGTCGGGACCTGGTCGCCGCGTTCCTCTCAGGTGCTCCCAACGGCTTCCTGCCCGCCCCGCTTGTGCCTGCACCGCCGGAACCCACGGCCGTTGCGCGGCGCAGGATCGTTCGGTTTTGGGGGGACTTCATGGGTGGAAAACAGTGAAGAGATGTGAAAACAGTGGTTAGTTCGGTGAGTTCAAGCCTATAAGCCTCCCTATCAAAATGCAACATACCAAAATTTTGCGCCTGGGGCATCAGCCATTGCATGAAGCTTTGTTTCAAACAGCTCCATGACAATGGAGCCATCGGAAGCCTGATTACTTTTATAAACATGGTATCGCGGTATCGCATGGTTCCATGCAAGTGACGTGGATTCAGTACTGATGTCAGACACGATGCCCTTGGTGTCCTTAGTGGTTCTTACTTCCCATCCAGTTCCATAAGCCGACGCTTTGCTTTGATGTCCATGCCATACCAAGGTGCCCAAGGCAGCTCCACCCATGCCACCACCGGAGGAGGATCACCCCGATGAAGATCTCCGCCCCGAGCACCGCCGCATCTTCCAGCCATTGCTGCCGTCCAAATCCGCGCCCGCTCCCGTCGAGGCGGCGCGCCGGCCGTCGCGCTTCACCCACGCCGGCTCCACCGCTGGAGAGGGCGCGTCGGGCTCCGCGGGCGCGCGAGAGACAGAGTGGTCAGCGACAGAAGATCCGCTGGGATACTTGGATTACAAGTCGCGGATGAGACAGATCAACGACGGCCACTGGGAGACAGAAGAGTTTCATTGATTTAAGTGTTTTCTTTTCTTTCTTTGCATCGTGGTACTCCCCAAACAACGACATGGGCTTAATATGAGTTCTTTATACATGTCGTTTTTATGTGGTCTCGGCGGTTTGGATTCTAAGAGGGGGTAGCTCAACCTCCGTTTGCCCTGAATTCCCTGAGGCTCATTTCCCATTGACGCTGTGGAGGTGGCGTTGGTGGCCCCAATGGCTTCCACTCCTGGGTTCCTCCCTTGCGCCGCTCCGCTGAAATATCAAGAAGGCCAGCATGGGGTAACGAAGAGAAGCGTTACTCCACCGGCGCTGTTGTTCCGGTGGATCTTTTTCTGGCTGTTTGCTTTCCGGCAGAGGACCACGACCCTGAAAACCACTGGGTGGACAATGAGAATCGTGTTGGTCCATGTGAGTCCATGGGATCGTCTGGCGCAGGTCATGCATCCTTGGGGTGAACAGCGTTGATGGCTGTGCTGTCTGACTTACTTCTAAATCCAGGAGTCACAGAGCTCGGGGTGGTGTTTAGTCCCATCCAGTGGATGTGAAGTCGGGGCACCCCGATCCTCCAAGTTCGGCTTTTTCTTGGTGACTGCGATTATATGTGTGTATTATAACGTATGAAGTATTATGATCACGTATGTGTGTACCAGCACCTTCAAAGGGGTCACCTGGCTGGAAGCCCCAGCCCACCACTAAGGGACCTCCAGACAGGACACCCCTTAAGAAGGTCCAGGTATATAATTCTATAGGGCACCCCAGTTCGGCACATGTGTGGCACATGTATGCTGTGACGCTCTACGATGTGCAACTGGCGGCTTCGACCTGGTCGCCCCTGGACAGCGCCTGGATCCCCCAAAACCAGCGGACCAGGACCGTTCGGCTGTTTCTGGTCTACGGTTTTTGGGGCGAACTGGGGACTGTATGTGAATATAGTCTAATATATGTGACGGAAAAGCAAATAGCAAGATTGGCACGTCGACGCTGTAGTCCTTTGTTTGAGCGTCCAAGTTGCACTCCCCTTCGCTTGAGACGGGGTCACCCTCAGAACACTCGTTGTTCCAAGCCAAGAGTCCGCATGTCACAAGGCCCTTTCCATGGCACCATGTGTTTTTGGACCACCGCCCCAGCGATGTCCAAGTGGGACCGTTTTCCACGCCGAGGCTGTGGAGGACATTTTGCTCCTTCTTTTCGTATCGAATGACAATGCCTTGGTCCAACGCTTGGACTCAAACGCCAAGCGAGGCTGGCTGCCCTTGAGGAACCTCAGGCCCCTGGGTCCCTATGACTTCTTGGTGAAAGCCTTTGTGGACACTGGGCGGCCAAAGCTGCAGAAGTCTTCAGAGCGACCCCCATCCGACATCCTACCTCTTCCACAGATGGAAGGTTGGAGTTTTTGTCTTTCTCACTTCTGGCTCTCCGCCCCAGCCCTCCTCCCTCAGCCTTTCGCGTCACGAGCCAAACCAACCGAATCCCCCACTGGGCGCGTGCTGGCGCCCGAACTTTTTCCCTGAACATGCAAGGTGCTCCACTCACCTCCACTCAACTAGTTCTTGGGACGGCCACTGTTGAAACGACGAGAAATTGAAGGTTTTGCCCTTTAACCTTACTAATCTTGAGTCGTCAGATTTCAAGGTTCCTGCGACGATTTCAAGGTCTTACAATGTGAGGATGGTTTGCAGGACCATTTCACTTTTCGAGCTGGGCTATGTATGGGATGCGTAATTAGCCATAATTAACCTATTGCGTCCTCTATGGAATATATCGTTTCGTATATAACATATATGCATGGGAGTCTTTCATCCTCTTGGGATGCCAAGCTTGCTCGAAATCTCGGAAACATGGGGAGCGACCGGCACTTCTGGGCCTTTCGCCATGTTTCGCCGCGTTTCGGGGCTTCGCTCTGGGCGTTTGGAGCTCGCTCAGGAGGGCCGCAACGTGGGCTTGGTGGCCGAGCCCATCACCCTGGGGCCTACGACCTCGGCGCTCATGGTGCTCGCGGTGCACGAGACCTGGTGTTGATTTGGGTTGATTGATGGTTTGATGTTGATTGATCTTGATTGATGTTGATCGTTCCATTTGTTCTCTTTGATCATTCCTTTCAATGGGCGTTCGTGTCTTTTTTGGGGGGGGTCGTTCTGTCCGCTGTAAGTGGTTTTGATCCTCCGGCTCCCGGACCGCCAAGGAGAATTCCACGTTGGGGAAATGGAACAGCTTCTGTCGAAAGTATTTTGCCAGGGACCAGCTGCTCCCAGGTGCGACGTGGTGAAGCTGATCAGAGAAAAGGAAGCATAGGGGGTGCGACTGAACTGTTGGTCGTTTTATGTTGTTCAGGCGGTTAGTTTTAGTTTGATGTGTTGCATGTTTTGGAGTTGGGCAACAGGGTTTGGGGAAGTCGTCAGAAATTTTGTTTATGCTTGCCCACTTGTTGCCTGCAGGTGATTTGATCATCGAAGCCAATCGCAACCAGGGATCGGAGTTGATGCAGCACACCTTGCGACATGACGTGCACATGTTGGAGTTGCATGTGGTGAGATGTGCGTTGCATTTGGACCCCCGGCAATCCTTGGCAGATCAACTGGCACAGCTGGGATTGGACCAGGGCGATGGTGCCACCGCCCAGAGCATGGACATGGGGGACACCGGTGGAGCCTACGCAGAGGTTCAACATTTTCAGTGAAGACTGAGTTGGAGGATGAACAAGGTGAGCACAGGAACCACTGAACACAGTGGGAACATGCAGAACACGGCCCAAAAGATTGATGTAGAAATGTGGGTCGCCAACGCTCGAGGGATGAGTCTTCGAGATGAGGCAATTGAGTTTAAGACCAGTGTGAGTGTTCTTTCCCGTTCGGGAAACCAACCGCGGTTTGAAAGGCTCAGTGCTCAGGGCATGTGCTCTTAGGCTTGTGAAGCTAGTGCTTCCCCTCGTGATGGGGCGCACAGGAAGCCAGTGACATGGACAGCCAGTGTGAAATGCTGATGGAATTGCCAGATGGTGTGCCATTTGGCGGATTTGTGCCGGCTTTACTCAGAGAAAGGGGCGGACGACCTAGCAATGCAGGGTCCACAAGAACCATGAACTTCGCAAGTTTTTGGGGGGCGATTTGGCAAAATTAAATAGGGCCCCACCAACCAAGTGTCCAAATATTGGGTTCTATCATGTTCTATCGAAATATGCGCACCGCTTGTCCATTTCACAGGCCCTTCTGTTACCAGAGGCTCGTCACTCGTCACCCATGGTTAGTACAGTGACAGACAGCTTGTGGCAGTTCCATGGTTGCACTTCTTATGATTGGTGAAGCCGAACCACACCCTTGGGTGCTAAATGCCCACGAGATGCTCCGCCCCTACCGCGTCCCTTGGTGTCCGAAAACCGCTGCTGGTCCGGACGACATCGACGACATCGACTCGACATCGACCGCTTGCCAGGAGGCGCGCCGCTTCGGTGCCCAGGCGCAGCAGCTTTTACCCAAGCTGGGCCCACGAGGGCAGAGCAACGGCACAGCTGCCGCGCTGCACCTGACGTTGGCCCTGCTGGGCCCGGGAACCAGACAGATTCGGAGGGGCGATTGGTGAAGCCATTGGTGAATGAAGAGAGGGGAAACACTGCCACAATGGGCAAATTGGCCAATAGGATCATGGACTTGGGCAGTTGGTTGAGTGGATGAGGTGTTGCTCTCAACTTGTTCCCCACCTGCCAGGTGAGGGTTGTTAGATTTTATCACAGCTGTTCTTCCTCCGCCTCCGCCTCCGCCTCCGCCTCCGCCTCCGCCTCCGCCTCCGCCGCCTCCTCGTCCTCCTCCTTCCTCCTTCCTCCTTGCTTCCTTCCTCGCCAATCTTCATCGCCAATCTGCTTCTCCGATCTTGTCTGGCCAGCTCCGGATCGCAGTGTGCACCCCTGGACCTCAACCGCAAGGATCCGATCGCAGTGTGCACCCCTGGACCTCAACCGCAAGGATCCGATCGCAGTGTGCACCGCTGGACCTCAACCGCAAGGATCCGATCGCAGTGTGCACCGCTGGACCTCAACTAGATAGTTTGCCAGATAAAATCCACAAACACACAACAAACACACAATCACAAACACACGACCACAAACGCGCAACCACAAACACACAACCACAAACACAATCACAAACACACAACTACAAACACAATCACACACACATAACCACAAACACAAAACCACCAACACACAACCACATCACAAACCCACAATCACAAACACAATCACAAACACACAACTACAAACACAACTACAAAGACACAATCACACACACCCATAACCACAAACACAAAACCACAAACACACAAACACAACCACACAACCACAAACACACAATCACAATCACAAACACAATCACAAACACGCAACTACAAATACAATCACAAACACAACTACAAACACAACTACAAAGACACAATCACAATCACACAACCACAAACATACACACAACACACAACTACAAACACACACACACACGCAAACACACAACCACAACCACACAACCACAAACACACAACCACAAACACACAACCACAAACACACAAACACACAGCCACAAACACACAACCACAACCACAAACACATCCACAAACACAACCACAAACACACAACCACAACCACAAGTACAAACACACAATCACAAAGACACAACCACAACCACAACTACAAACACATAATCACAAAGACACAACCACAACCACAACTACCAACACATAATCACAACCACTACCACTACCACAAACACAACCACAAACACATCCACAAACACACAACCACAAACACAACTACAAACACATACAAACACACAATCACAAAGACACAACCACAACCACAACTACAAACACACAATCACAAAGACACAACCGCAACCACAACCACAACTACAAACACACAATCACCACCACTACCACAACCACTACCACAACCACTACCACAACCACAAACACACAACCACAAACACACAACCACAAACACAACCACAACCACAACACAGCACACAACCACAGCACACAACCCGAGGACCCACAAGCAACATCGAGAACTACAATACTAACGACATCTAACGACTATGGCAACATGCTCCTCACTATGGCATCAAGACAAATGATTGAAATGTCATGGTGGGGATCACTCGAAGTAAAGTATTTTTTTTTCGGGATTTGGGTTCGGCCCGCATGACCCTCCTGTCTCCCAAGTCTCCCAAGTGGTATGTTTCTCAAGCAGCCAAATTCCCACTGCATTGTGTGTAACAAACCCAATTTTGCTCCACCACATGGAGAAAAGATGATAAAAGCGAGCGTGATATCAGGAAAACCCTCAAAAGATCATTGGAAACTGTTGCCACTGTATTCCCGTCTATGTTGGATGATTTGTATGTGAATTCTACATCTTGCCAACACACACACAAACCGGGCAAAGAACCGTAAACAGTGAAACAGCTACCTCCTTTGCACACATCCGCAGCCAAGAACACCCATTTTCTGACTGGTGCGACTCGTAGGGAATGAGGGAATGACCCCCCGCCTAAGCACAGGTCAGCAAAAGAACGGCCATTTTGATCGCTGCTTCCGTGCCACTTCCCGCCAAGGTGTCGACGGGCACTTGACAGCCTTGGACAAATGCCCTCGCTGCTGCCGGGCCTACGATGAAGCGATTAAATTCAAAAGGCCAGACTCCTTTTTACCCGGACAGGGTGATAGATGGCCGTGGGAAGAGTGACACCTGGCTGTGAGAAACTATGAAAGTGGAGCGGTTTTTCCTTCTCCACACAGGTGACAACCACAGGTGACTTGGCAGTGAGATTTGCGGCCAGGACTCTGACCCTGCCCAAAATAGATTTAAACGTAATTCCCTGTACACATTGGACACTGCTTATGTCTATTTAAGTCCCAACTTTGCCGTTTGACTTGAGGTCTTGGTAGCAGTTTTGCTTTCCTTTGATATTGGGGATTTATCGGGATGATGTTCTTTACAATGGTACGACGTAACACAACAAGACGATGATTACTGATGTTGTTTGTCAACAACGTGATAAGACTCCAAAGGAGCTTCAAGGCGGGACACAGTCCTCAAATTTGGTCCTTGGGTGCTTTCGTTCATGGCAGCATCCATTTTTGATGTAAGCATGGCATAGAATTATGCAACACACTCAGCAATTGCCAGGTTCAACGCGATCCTTTTGCTTGCAACAAGCTTAATTATCCTAAAGATCCCTGAAGATCCTGGAGCTTTCTTCAGCCTGATTGAACTTGTAACTCCATGTCACTCCTTGTGACTCCTGGGGGGGTCCCGATGGTTCAGGCTGGGACTGGAGCGGCGGATTGCCGATGGAGCCAACGATGCTCCAGAAGAACTTCCAGGCCGGGACCTGCTTGACTCAGGGCGGGTTGTGATGACTAACTAACAGCAGAGTTTTGCACAACTAAAAACTTATATACTTGATATATATATATATACAACCGTATTATGCACATATCAATTAATAGTATAACACGTGTATATAATGACTTATAGTATCTTATAACAGCATTATGGTGTATTATGCAAGTCTTTTTCTTTTGGTCGACCGGAGTCGACCTGGGTCGTGTGTCCTGGTGCTATGAAGCAGTGGCAATGAGGCTTGGTGCAGTTTTCTTTGTCAAACGGATCATGCAGATGCAAGTTCGGTCATAGTGACTTCATGTAACATCCTGCTACCTACGATCCTATGGTGATATGAGACAACAGGAGCTGCTTGATGTCCAAAGCAAGGACCAAATAACACTTGTTGTTGTTCTGTGTTCTTTTTGCCCTTGGATTTTGTCCTTTCGAAGAATGCAGGTGTTTGGTAGCTAGGATCACTAACTATACATTGTTTCATCCATACCCATGGACACCCCCGAAGATGTCCACCAAACGAACTACAGCCTGAAACCCTCAGTTCACGCGAATTCCCTCCAAATTGTTCGGACCGAATTTTGCTCTCTTCGTGGTGGCCTAAGCGAGAAACAGTTACAAGTGCAAAGGCACCGCACCAGAAGGGAAGGCACCTGCCGCAACACGATGTGTTCGACTTCTCATGCTCCATCCTCCCAACCATCAATCCGTATCCTGTCCTAGTCACCTGGCGTCCAGAGAGCAGAAGACGAAAGGCCCTCCCTCAAAACACCCAGACAGCCTACCTGTCTCTTCAAAAGGCCGAAATAGTTGTTGGGATGCAGTGAAAAGATGGCGTAATCAAAAACATGTCGCTTCAAGGTTGCGAGCTTGTGCTCAAAATCTATGGACGGGGAAAGTTTAGACGCCCAAAGTCGCCGGGTCTTTTCGCTTTCTCACCTCGCTACCACAAAATTTGCCGTTATCCGGACCGCCTTGTCACTGTCACAGCAAAAGACGCCGGTGTTTGGCAAAGGACACCCAAAAGGCATGTGTGTTTTAATGTGTTTTTCTTAAAGGGCACTTCTGTGTTCTGTGTGCCGTTTCGACTGTCCAGGTCTAGGCCTACATGTACCTCGCTTCAACCACCCTGATGTAAAGATCGATTCCATACATCATTCGGGTGTCGTATTGAACTAGGGGTCTCCCTCTCAGGCAACGCCTACCCAGCGGCCAGGGGATCTTGCACCAGCAGTCACAAAGGGGTGCTATCCATGGAAGTTAGTGGTGCCCATTATCCACTCACTGGATGGGACTAAACACCACCCCGACATGTGACCTCTGGCACACCCAATTTCAGGATGGACGTGGACCACGATGGACCTTTTGGGCACTCGATCTTCGTTTTGGTTGAACCTCGACGCCGTCCTCAGTCCTCCCGAGGTGACCGCTCCGTCGAGAACGGCTCCGTGGAGGGCGGCTCCGTGGAGGGCGACGATGAAGAGTTCTTCTCGGCAGAGGAGGAGGAACATGAGGACGCCCAGCCGTCGTCCTGGAAGGCGGGTGGAGGACATGTCGGACATGCGGACAAAGCGAGGTGGCGCAAGGTGATGCTTGGTGTGGAAATTGTAGAAACCACGGGTGCCGCCGCCTTTTGTTTGGCAAGGCGGTGAAGGTGATGAAAGATGATACCACATTGAACCGTAGGACTCTGAGATCCACCACTGAGATCCACTGAGTATGACCGAGGCCACTGAGTATGACCCTGTGACCTGTAAAGTGTGAACTTCGACGTGTGCTTCAGTGGTGAATGTCAATCCCAAACACTCCATGTATGTATGGCATGTTTGCCTACATTGAGGTGGTTTCAGGGGTCAATGTATGGGCAAGTATGCCATACATGGAGTGTTTGGGAGTCTGGAATTGGTGAACGTCATGAGTCATGAGTCTTCGTGACTGTTTTCATCAAACCGTATCAAACCTGTTCACGACCGTGATTGTAGGCCCGGTCGGCAGCAAACGCCGCCCAGGTCGACGAAAGGTGCGAAGTTTGATCACTCAGCCTGTCAAGACTCACTGGCCCCACCAATTGTTCCAGCAGTGTGCATTGTACCAAACATTATAGTCACTATATATATATATACCAGAACCCTCCAACAGGGCACCACCTGACACTTTTAAGTATCCAAAAGCCTCCAGAGCAAACCTGTTGGAGGGTGCTGGTATATTTTTTTATATATCCTACAGACTCCACTGTCTTGGACATTTTGATGCCACTCAGCCAGGAGAAAAAAAATGTTTTGGAAGAAATGCCGCAACTTTGTTGGGGTTGGGATTGCGGCATCTCGACGCCACACGGAGGTTTGCATCTCAAGTCGAAACAGTTAAAATGCAGCGTGTTTGCCCATGTTTGTGGCATGCTTGCCAGCGTTTGCGGCGTGTTTGCCTGCGTTTGCGGCTGTGCCTTCCCATGCAAGGTGTGTTTCCTCAATTGCCGCAAACAATGTGCGTTTTGTCATGACGGCGGAATTACTGCCGCAAGGATATATATATATATATATTGCTCCACTTATATGAACCAAATACTCCACCTTTGGCATATGTGTACATCAACATGGAGTCTGGTCACGGTCACGGGAGGCCCACTTTTGGAAGAAGTGGAAGTTCCGGCGTCCTCCCAGCATCGAGACTGAGTTGGGCAGCGACGATGTCAAGCCCGCGGTGGGGGAGCCCGGTTTGACACGGCCGCAGCTTCCCAGGAGGGATCGAAATGACAAGGGCAACACTACCCCAACAGCACTGATGCGGCCCTAAGCATGGTTCTGGGCAGGGTCCTAGTGAAGGGCTGGTAGTACAGGGTATTCACGCCGTAGTTTCATTACTTTGGACACTGGGCCTTTGTTTGTTGCAAGGTCTTCTGTCAGCATGTGTGCCTTGCAACATCAGATGAACAAACCCGTATGAAGAAACCTTTCAAGTGCAACATGCCTATCAAGGAATTTGGACCAAGCCCATCCGAAAAAACATCAAACAGGAGATTTGCACAGTTCGCCTATGATGAAATTCCCGTTTAAACCTCTTTTTCTTCACGACACCATGACCCTTTGTTCACTGATTCACCTTCGTTCGATGTGTCCGGCCTTCCTCCGGCCCTCCGGCGTCCCACGCGGATCGGCTCCCGAGGCGGCATCGCCCAGCTCCTCGTTGAGCTGGGCGTCGGAGGTGGCGGTGAAGGCACCGCCGAGTGCACGGCCTTCGTCCGTGCGCAGCGAAGTTCGGGGCATCCAAAAGGGAATTTGGAGACGATTTCACGGGCGAATGTTTCATGAACCTTTTGAATGGGCCTGCGGCGCCTGCAAGCTTGCAGATTGGTGATTCTGTCTCTGAAATGGAGACGATTTCACGCCCAACACACAAGCATTGTGCGGGCGCATGGTCTATACTCATGTCTAAATTCTATTCCTGAAGTGATTTCACACATCAACGTCAAGAGTAGCACCTCATCTCCTTTTCTCACAAGCCTTCCAGATTGGTTCGTTGTTTCTTCCAACGTCGGGGCGGAACCTGAGGCGCTACGCGATTTCGCCAAGAAGTCGGCCGTGGCGGGAGGCTTTGGGGACGGCGGGCGACACCCGACTTTGGCGACCCGTGGCGGTCCTTCGGTTCGATGGCACTGGCACCCCAAGATGTCTTAGACAGATGGGGATCCATATATATATATATATATAAGATCCTTTTGGTGATTGTGTCATCTACTCTCAGGTCCTTCTTTTTAGTTGTATATAATTAGATTGAGACATGCCGACATGCCGCAGACGACATGCAGTCTGGGTGGAAGGGAGGAACATGTGCTCCGAATACATCCTAATACCTCCCAATTTGCCAGGTTGGCCCAGCTGTTCCCACGCAATCCTTCGCTGAGAATGTTTCTTTGTGACTGGGAGACTCTTCTAAAATCTTGGTCACGTGGTACCTGCTAAACGCATGCTTTCAGGGAGGGCCTGGCCCATCCTTCCCCCCGCTGTATGATACAACCAGGTCGTTGACTCCGGTTCTTCGACTGCTGAAGAAACCCGTGCCATCTCCACGTCCGCACGTCCACCACAAACCATTCGGAGACCTACCGCGCCTGGGCGAAGAAAGCCAGGTCAGCTTGGGCATCAAGCCAGCGAGCAGCTGGGTCACCTGGCCAACTCCGGTGCGGGGCGCCAGCGTTTGGGAACCTTCGGGCGGGCACGGTGCCATACGGTGCCCGGAACACGGCTTGTGGTGTTTTCTTGTTTTTGGTGGTGCGTGTGCGTGTGGTAGAAGATGATTTTTTGGTGGGTGGGGTGGGTGGGTGGATGATTGTATTGTTTTTCTTG